AATAGCACCACCCTGAGGATCAAGGCTTTAACACGTGGTCATTTGGGGAACATTATTCATATTTAAACAATAGCAACCAATAAATGCTATGGATAAAGAAATCAACTCCAAGTTACCTTTGACTATAAGCACTGAGCATTATCACATGGAGTAAATCAGTGAGAAGAACATGGTTTTGAAAGTGACCAAGGATAAGCCAAATGGACTTGGTTTGATCATAACAGAGAGGTCTTCTTTACAGTTGCTCCAGTCCTATGCACTTTGTAGACTTTTTAGGAACATATTTTATATGGTGGGTCAATCTAGTGCTGGAGGTAAGGAGGACAAGTAAATATAGCAGGATGAACCTGTTTTCTGTGCTCTGAATTACCCCATGCAATCCCTTCTATAGGTTACTAAATTGATACACAGGCATTGGTCTACAAAACGTTCTCGGACAATTTTTTTTAAAGCTGTGATTTTTTTTATTATTTCTTACATGACAATAGTGGAGTACATTACATTCATTTTTTTTTTGCATTACAATTCTTAATACACCTTTATACCGCAATTTATCAAATCTCTGTTTGTATATATGATATGTTGACATCAAATTCACATCTTCATACATGAATTTTGTATAAAGATGATGGTCTCTTTCCACTATCCCCTTCTCCCTCCCTTTCCTTCCCACCCCTATTCCCTATCTAGAGGTAATTTTCACCCATGCTTTCCCTCCCTACCCCACTTTGAGTCGCCCCCCCCCATTATATCAGAGAAAACATTCAGCATTTTTTAGGGATTGGCTAACTTCACTTAGCATAATCTTCTCTAATGCCACTCATTTCCCTGCAAATGCCATGGTCTTATTCATTTTTAGTGCAGAGTAATATTCCATTGTGTATACATGCCACATTTTTAAAAATTTTTAACCTATTCATCCACTGAAGGACATCTAGGTTGGTTCCACAGTTTAGCTATTGTGAATTGTGCTGCTATAAACATTGATGTGGCTGTGTCCCTGTAGTATGCTGTTTTTAGGTCCCTTTGGCATAGTGCAAGAAGAGGAACAGCTGGGTCAAATAGTGGTTCCATTCCCAGCTTATCAAGGAATCTCCATACTGCTTTCCAAATTGGCTGCACTAATTTGCAGTCCCACCAGCAATGTATGAGTGTACCTTTTTTCCCCACATCCT